GCTCTCTTGTCTGCTGTTTGGCATTTCCTCACTGCCTCATTTCTCTCTACTAACCCAGACCCTCTGTCCTGGGGTACCCTCCAAAACCAGACTTTTCTCACAGGACCCAGCTCCAAGGTCAAGTTTGCCCCTGGAGGTGAAGAACCTAAGTTTGGAAACCTGCCAGCCTCACTTAATACTGGCCTTCCCCACCCTCAGCTGAGACCTTGGGAAGGTGACATCACCTCTTCGAGCCTCAGCTTTCTCATCTTTTTAATGGACTTCTATCTAGCACTCACCTCTGAAAATAATGCTTTTAAATAATCAAATTCTTTTAAATAATAATAATAGCCAAATTCTCCTCAGATGCTTACTGCGCACCAAGTGCAACTCTAACTGCATCAACTTATTCAGTCTTTATCTCAGTGAGGATTCCCATTTTTCATACAGGGAGAACAGGTTCAGAGAAGAGTTACATGCCTGAAGTGACTCAGCCAGGAAAAGGCAGTGCTGAGTCCTGAGCCCTGGGCAGATTTGGACCAAGAGCCCAAATGTATGACCACCGAGCCATGCTACCTCCTCCTGTGCCTTAGTCCCTACCATATAGCAAGTTCACAATAAATGCTTTTAAATCATTAAAGTTGTGTGGTCCTGGGCAACTTTCTTCCCCCTCTGGACCTCAGTCTTCTCATTGGTAAAACAGAGCCTTATTCATTCATTGTCCTGTTGGGGCATTTGCTGTGTACCTGGCACCATTCTAGACTTGGGGACACGTCCAAAAACAAGATGGAGGAGATGCTGGCTCTCACGGGGCTCATATCGCATGTGTGTAAGTGAGAGGGAGAAGTAAACAAGTACACAAGTAAATGAACTTGATAACTTCCAGGCTGTGGCAAAGACTATGAAGAAAATAATGTATGCAAGGCATAGTAGGTGGATTCGTGGGGTGCTCAGGGAGGGCCTCTCTAATAAGTGACTTTTGAGCTGAGACCTGAAGGGTGAGGCCAGCGTGCAAAGACCTCAAGGAAGAGCATTGTGGACAGAGGGAACAGCACAGGCAAAGACCCTGAGGCAAGAATAAGCGTGATCTGTTAGAGGGCATTGATATGGCTAGAATGGCATACATTTGAGGAAGGCAGTGGGACCAAGGCTGGGGCCAGCTGGAGAGGCCTGGTGACCTGAGGGAAAGATGGATTTTATACCCAATGCAACAAGGCACCTGGGGATTTCAGGAAGAATGAAGAGAAAAGGCTCCTGAAAGCCTTTGGCTAGGCCTGGCATACATCTTGCTGCCCTTGGCATCTGCAAGGCACATCGCAGGCTACAGGAGATCCCACTCTCTCATCCAGGTCATGGTAGTACACCTGGTAGGCACAGTGTCAGGCAAGCACCTGAACAGAGTGGAGAGCAGTAGTTCAGGACCTTCCTGGGATGGCCATTGTCTGAGTGTCTTAAGAATTTGAGAGCCCAGGGGCTCCTGTCAATGCATGAGAGAACATCCCCTCCCTCCGAAGAGACCCCAAGTGGGCCAAGCCAGGCCAACCCAGCCCTAAGCTGAAAGACCCCTCCATGTGTCAAAAGGGTGTCTCAGGCCCAACTTGCAACTCTGTACCCAGGCATTTTCTCGGTTCTTGTGGAAGGTCCTGGTTCCTTTATGTCCAGATGCACTCTGCCACTCAGAGCCCAGCCTAGCAGCTTCGGTGTGTCTGCCAGGGCAGAAAGCACTGCCACCCGTATCTCTCAGGGTGAAAGGAGGAAACTCCTTCCATGCCCTCTGGTTCAGGGGACTTTCAGCAACCCCAAAAGAGGTTCCACTAGTGGGACAGGAAGTATCCTCACTCTGTGAGGGACCGTTCTCGACGTGATTCTTTGGGAGTGTTAGGGCCTTTGCAATCAGTAAGCCAGCTCCCACGCTGCCTCCCAGCTTCTCCCACAGGCCTGCTCTCCGCTCCTTCAGGGGCACCTGGCTGACCTTGTCTTCTCATAGGACAGTTCTGTCCCCACCATTTGGATGCAAAACCTTCACAAGTGACATCTCTAGCTCCTTTTCTCTAAAACTCCACTCAACTCGTTGCTTCGTGTCTCAGTCCCCCTCAGACCCAACTTCAACTTTCTGAATGAAAGTTTCCTCATTTAAATTCTGGGACACCCAGATGATGCCCTTACCTCTACTTCCCTGGCAGTGCCTTCTCCATCTCCTGACCTCTTTGCTCCCTGAAGTCTAGAATTCACAGAGTTGGCCATGGCCTCCTCCCTCTCATGCCTCCCCACTTTCAAGCCTATCTCACCCGCTTCCACAGCCTCAGTTTCCCTTTTCTCTCCTGAGTCCTGGACTCTTCTGCAGACCAGGGGTCATGGAGCCTCTTAAATGCCTCTCCCCGGAACCCTCTAAGTCTTGTACACTGCCCCACCCCAGGTCCCATACTGGCCTCCACGCCTGTTCACACCCTCAGGTCCCGCTGCAGAGGCCTGCACCCTCAGGACTGCCCTTCTTCTGCAGGACACCTCCCCCCCTGCAGAGCTCACCAGCTCCACAGCTTGCAGGCCTCCTGAATGTGTCCTGTCCCCTTCTCCGTCCCTGTTTCCAGCCCCATCCAACCCTGGCTCAGCACCCTCTGGGCTGGCCTCTACATGGAAGCCCAAGGGGCTCTTGCTAAATATCAAATCCCACCTGTCCCTTCTTTACACAGAATGCTCCGTGACTCCCCAGTGTTCCCTAGGACAGAGTCTAAGGCCCTCACCCTGGGTGCCTGCCACTCTAGGATATAAGCAAGGCTGTTAGAGATTTGAAGGTTGAATACATGTTTCTCTCAACCTCCAGACGGCCATATGGGTCATTGTCAGACACCTGAGAGAGGTTTCAAAAGGCAACTGAAACCACAGGACTTACAAATAGAAGTTAGAAAAAAGAAACACAGAACAGCCGCCGGTGCCATCTTGTGGAGGGACCCAGCACTGCCGAGGCATCCACCTGCCGCTCATCAAAAAAAGTGGGACAGACACCTCATCACCCTCTCATCTCCATTTCAAGTTTACCTCCAGAAATACCCAGATTACCTATGTGCCACTGCACCCCCAGACGCTTGTTACCCGCCCCCAACATTTAGTTAGGCTCTTCCCTCTGCATGGCACATGTGACCTTCACCCTCCTCATCCTGAATGCCAACTCAGATATCACCTCCTCCAAGTCTAGGTCACCAGAAGCACCAAGACCCTCGAGCTGCACATAACACAAACCTAAGCAGCCACTGCAGCAGCAATGGCTATTAAATCGCATGCCAGCTTCTAACCCTGTCCTGCAGTTCCTTAAATCTTTATAACTGTTCACGAGGAAGGTATCATTGTTATCACCACCTTGGCTTACAGATGATCAAGAGGCCTAGAGAGGTGCAGGTGCTGACCCCGGATCACACAGGACGTTCACACAGCACCACAACCTTTTGGCGTCTGTGTCCAGGTTTGACCACATCATACAGCCAGACTCACCTCTAAGACTGGGCCCAAGCTGCCTGGGCTCACACTGGAGCCCACTCTGCTTCAGTTCTCCCTGTACCCAGACCTGTCTCTGTCCATCCTTCCCAGCACACTCTGTTTTTCTTCATTGATTCATTCACCCATAGGCCCCAACCCTGGTGAATCCCTTCCCTTGGCTCCAGGAAGGAATCCTCCAGACAGTGTGGGGCTCCACTGTCCATCTGCTTGGCAAGGGTACAGGGCCTTCTGAGCCACTGGGAGCCTGGCTGCATGCTGGGCTGTAGCAGAATGGTTGGGGGTCTGAGTGGCTAACTGTTTCGAGACCCAACGAGGCCAGAGATCCACACTGATCATTTCAGATGGCACACACAGTGCTTTCTGCTTTTAAATACTCCCATCACCCTATGAGGTGTGCATGAGTACCATCTCCATTTTACAGATGATGAAACTAAGGCCCAGAGAGTTAGGTATACTGCTTGCTCAGGGCCTCATAGCTAGCAAGTACTACCTTCCAGGACCAAAACCAGCCAGCCTCATTCCAGGAGGAAGGGAGGGAGTCAGCCCAACTGGACAGGGCAGGAAGGAAAAGCCGCATTTCCTCAGTCCCCTCCAGCTGCACCTCCCCCCCACCCCAGCTGGCTCCCCAGTGTGGAAGAGATTACAAGGTATCCAGGCTGTGGGAAGCCCTGGCTCCAGGCTGCCAAGAGCCCTTGAGTACCAGCCACTCAGCAGTGGCTTCTTTCCATCGTCCCGGAGTGGTTTCTCTGTGCTCTCTCCCTTCTTCATCCTTCCTGCTGAGTCCAAAGTCCTCCCTCTGCTCTTTTGCCCACCATGTCAGGAGGTAGGAGGAATGTCTGGAATCAGTGGGGGTCTTAAGTCCCTGGGTTTCCAAGTCCACTGACCTCTGTCATGACAGCTCCGGTTCATGGCAAGCATCTGACATGCATCTAAGCCCCCTGCCATTGTCCCCGCACCCCAAAACCTCATGTAGGTAGGTAGCCTTAGGATCCATGCTTGACCCAGGGGGAACTGAAGCCCAGAAAAATGATGTCACTTGCACAAGATCATACAACAAAAAAGTGGCAGAAGCAGGTTCAAATGCAGGCCGAAAGACTCAGCTCCCGAGTCTGTGTCCTTAACCGTGACAGCCCATCTCCCCACTGCAGCCTCAAGGGGAGGACAGGTCCAGGGTCAGCTGAAGAATTGCTGAGGGGTGAGGAGAAACTGAGGCAGGGAGCCAGGAAAGTCACGTGGGGTAGCAGGGAGGCAGATAGTGGCACAGCCTCACAGAAAATTTGGTTAATGATTAGTCAGGTGGAGAAAGCTTCAGAAGGGGGTGGGGATGGACCCAGGAGGAGTGCCAGAGAGAGGGGGTTCCAAGGGGGCAGAGGGTTGGGAAGAGAGCACACAGGGAGGGACATCAGGCAGAGCCAAAGTCGGGGCTCAGGGACAGGGGGACTTACCCTCCTTCTCTGCCATGTCACGGGCTCTTGTTAATGATTCCCCGGCTGACCTCCTGGGCCGGGGCAGGACCTGTGGAGAGATAAACGGGGAGGCAGGGCCTGGGGGAGCCCAGCCCAGCTCCAGCGCCCCTGGTTCCCCGGCGTCCATCCAGGGAGGCTGAAGGACCTGGGCCCTGGCCAGAGCATGCTCTGATCACGGACACAGATTAGGCTGGGTTCAAGGATGGGGTCAGTGTCTGACCAGGGGCCAGGGGGACACCTGGATTTGTAGGGCTGGGGGCTCCCTTGTCTAAGCTTCGAGAGGAGGGGATTGAAGGTTTAAACTCCAATGTCGAGCAGGCGCCTGAAATCCTGGGTCTTGGGGAAGAGGGCTTTGGGCATGGAGTCCATAGCAGGACTCCCTGGTATGAGGTTGGAGGGGCACAGGAGCCTGGACTCCTGGGTCTGAGGAAGGAGGTGACTGGGGCCCAATCTCTGAATCTGATGAAGATGGGGTTGCTCCAAGGACCTTGGAAAGAAGTCAGAGTCCACTCTTGGGGTCCCTCTATTGGGAGGTAAGCATTAGGTTGGGTGGCAGTGAGGTGACCCCTGTCCTGGGAACTGGAACCGAGGGCCCTGGTCCTTACCCTGGGGTCCAGCAGGCGGGGGCGAAGCTGAGAGACGGTGCCAGTTGACGGTCAGTCTCCAGGCCTGGGCAGGAGCATGATGGCCCCGCAGTAGTGGCGCGGCCAGGAGGCAGAGGCAGCGGCGTGGGGCCTGCTAGGCCTGGCTGCCTCACCTGAGGAGGAGGGGGCTGGGTAGGAGGCGGGGAAAGGGGTGGGGAGGGGCGGGCAAAGGGATTGGCAGCACCAGAGGCCACCTGGCTGGTGGGGCTGGGTTTGCTGGGGCTGGACCAGGCCAGCCCAGCCACCTGCCTCCCTCTAGCCTGAGGGGTGGGCCCAGGTGTGCCAATCTGAGGGGAGGCGGGAGTAGGGACAGGGTTGGCCTGAGGATGGGGGTTCGGGGCAACAGAGCAGGCTGGTGGTGCTTACAAGGACTGAAGGATGGGGATGCGGACTGGAGGGAGTTAGACAGAGTGCCCCAACTGCCCTGCTACTTCTCCTGCCTCCTACCCAGCCCCTGCCTAGTAGGTCTAACTCCATCCCCATTCACCCCTGCCCCTTCCAGCACCCCCTGTCCAGGTCCTGACCGAGGCAGTCCCTGTCCCTGCCCCAGTTCCAGGCTCTGCCCCAGACTTCTTCCCCAGCTCCAGTTCTTGCTCAAGCCTCTGCCTCTTCCCAAGTCCCCAGTCCAGCCCCTGTCTGCTTTGCTCTGCTCACCACCCCCCACCCCAACACACACACAGTCTCCTCCCCCCAGCTGCTTTCCCACAAGTCACAGGGGCTGGTTTGCTTTGGCAGCCTCTCTGCTGCTTGCAGCAATGACCTCTGGATCCACCAAAGTCCTAGATATGGGGGAAGGGGGCTTGGCCCAGAAAAGGCGGTACTAAGTGCTAAAGCCCAAGCCACGTGGGCAAAAGTGTCCAGAGGCAGACACACACACTGCCCCACCAGTGGTCAAGAGTGATCCAAGTCACATCCCAGGGCCAAATAAACACCAGACACCTAGGGACACCACCAGATACCTGGCTTCAGACAGCTACATAAACACAGACCACAGCTGCTCATCCCAAGTAGGCTGTCCCTGCATAATCAGAGCCACCTGTTCACCCGACTCAGTGCCACAGCCTCCCAGAGGGGTCCCTCTGGTGTAGACTTGGTGCTGCTCAGCACCTAGTCTCTCCCTCTCTCTCCATTCAGGGTCCTCTTTCCCACTCCCACCACCTCAGAGACACCCACACTGCTGAGGAATGAGTGAAGAAATACAATGGAGTCTCTATAGTCAGGTGGCTAAATTTCTAAAATCAATAGGTTGAGGTATGAGGAAACTATTCTTGCTTTAACTAGACTGGAAACTTGAACTTTTGAGCTGTGCAGCAATGCCTGGAGGCACAGACAAACCCTGCAGATAACCTGCTGAAGAACTTAGGAAAGAATGTCGAGGTATCCAAGACCCCTGACATCTGGAAGATCACCATTTCAGACCAATTCAGAAGCTAAGAACTCAGAACTAATTTTTTCCCCTCAACATTGTACTTTTTACTATAAGAACTGTCAATTTTCCTCTTTTCTTGAGAACACTCTGGGTATTACATGGTAGTGTTTCTTGTTTTCAAACTCTAAGACCCTTGAATAAAACTTTGCCACTTTTAATTTTAGCAAAGCCTCCTGATTCATTTATGCTCGGCAGTTTGGTCGAGACTGCTAGCCTGGAATACAAAAACCCACGCCACTGCTGCCTTGCCCCTCCTCTCCAAAGCAGCACCCTCCCGATTGCCTCCCTGGCTCCCTCCCGGCCTTCCTCCCACTCGTGGTCCCTGCTGAGCTAATGACACCCCCAACCCCACATTAATCAAGCACTAAGTGGATGCACCTGCTGGGCCTTCCGGCAGCTGCTGAGCCTGAGATGCTGCACCCACCTGCTCCTTCCCATCATTATCTCTGAATGTGTGCAGAGGCCTCTCTACCTGCCTGGGAGGGCAGGTCCCTGGGGAAACTGAGGCTCTTGGATTTGGGGATAGGGTGTAGAGGATAACTGGGCTCATGAGAGAGACTATGAATCAAGTCCAAGAATCTTTATTTCATGAACAAAACTACCTGTGTAAAGAGACGAGGCTGACTGGGCCCCTTTCTAAGTGGCCGCAATCCAAGGCTGGTGAGAGAGGGTGGAGTTGGGCGGGGCAAGAGTGCATCACAGGAGAGGGACCCCAGGTCCAGCCAGAGGAAGCAGGAGGGGAAAAGTCGGTGAGGGTTTAAGTGGGTCCCAAACCCCCTGCCCTGAGCGGTTCTGGCTGGTCACAACCCTGCTGGGCAGGGAGAAGCTGGGCCCTTGGTGCGTGTCTGAGCGGCCAACATGTGCAAATCAGCAAGGAGGAGGGGTGCGGAGCTGCTGCCCCCACCTCACCGCCCCCCCCCTCAAACAGGCAGCAGAAGCGAGGGTGGGAGCAGCGGCAGTATTGCTTTACCCATCATGCATGGTGAGAGTGGGCGAGTGGGCAGGAGGAAGAAGGCTGGATTAGGGGTTTGAGCCAAGCCCCCTGCCCCCTCCCACCCTGGAGGCTCCGCTGGCAGGACTCTGAGGCTGTGGAGGCCCAGGAATGGCCAACCCCCATTGGGGGTAGGCTGTGCCCAGATGTTCCCAATTAGGGCTGGCTCTTCCTTGAGGCGAAGCCCAGGGCCTAAAGACGAGGGAGAGACAGAATCAGGGACCTAGTGGACTGACGCCACCCCAGGCCTACCAGCCCCCGCCCACCTACCCACCTTACCGGTGCTATTCGGCCACCTGGACACCCGTACAGTTCTCTTTACTTTCTGAGGTGATGGCCAGGTATTCCGAGCTGTGGGGGCAAAGGCCAGGTAGACAGTGACCCCCTCCTCAGTCTGGCCCACCACCAGGAGACTGAAGAGGGTTGTGGTCCCTGCCCCAGGTGCACTGGGCTCTAGAGTTAGAAAAACGAGGGGACCATGGGCTGGACTCCTGGTGACCCACAAGAAGTCCAGGCTGGGGTCCTGGAGCCCTGAGTCTGAGGTAGGAGGGGACTAGGGGCTCAGACTCCTGGGTTCTGGTGAAGAAAGAGACTGGGACCTGAATGCCTGTATCTTTGGGGGACTGGATGTTGGCCCTGAACCTTGGGTGCTAAGAGAAGTGGGGGGCTGAGAGTCTGAGGTAGGAGAGGTCTCTGACAACAAATGCCCCCCTCCGAGGATGACTTGCGGATGGTGCCCTGGGTTGCTCCCCTGTCCCCTCCCCACTCAGTTCATGCTCCCCTGTGGGAGGTCCTGGGTGTCCTGGCTTGCCTCCTCCCTCCTCACCAGCCCCTCTTACGCATTTTCTTGAGCAGCAGCCTCCGTGGCAGCAGCGATCTTCTTGTAACAATAAACCATCTCTGCCACAAGCCATATGGTCAACACGACGATGAGTACATACATCATGATCTCAGACACGATGGACGCCATGTCTCTGTTGGCTGCAGGGGCCAGACAAGAGTCAGTGGCAGCTGAGGCCAGGCTCAGGAGGCAAGACAGCCTGTGTTCCTTGAACTCGTTGTCCCAGCTTGGGCAAGTGGCTCGACCTCCCTGGGCCTGGTCTGCAAATGGGAATGGGCTGCTTCCCGAGAATCATCATTATTACTAGTCACTACCTGTGGATGCACTTCAGGGTCACCTCACCCTGCCTCCCTGTGTAACTCAAAGGTTTACCTGTGTCAGTCAGGTGGCTGTAGGTGCCCAAGAGCTATAGCTCTGCAACCAGAAGGCTCAGGTTCAAGTCCTGGCTCTGCCACTTGCCAGTTGTATGACCTTGAGCAAGTGACTCAACCTCTCTGGGTCTCAGTTTCACAATCTCTTTCATGAGAGTGTTGTGAGAATTTAAAAAGCTTTAAAGGTCCTTAGAATAGTGCTGGACATATAGACATCATTCAATAAATGTTTGCTATCATTGCCCTGGCTGGTGCAGCTCGATTGAGTGTCGATCACTGGATTGAGTGTCGATCACTGGATTGAGTGGATTTCAATCCAGTGGATTGAGTGTCGGCCTGAGATCTGACTTGGTCAGGGCGTGTACCTGGGTTGCGGGCCAGGTTCCCAGCTGCGGGTATACGAGAGGCAACCGATCCATGTTTCTCTTGCACATCATCAATGTTTTTCTCCCTCTTTCTCCCTCCTTCCCCTCTCTCTAAAAATAAAATCTTCTAAAAAATATTTGCTATTATTAATATTATTATTACTGTGACTACTGGGGCAGTACAGCAAAGTGGTTAAGAGCAGGGGATTTGGGGTCAGACAGCCAGGCTTCAAATTCTGCCTCTGCTCCTTAACAGCCACACGACCTCAGACAAGCAACTCTCCCTCTCTGGGCCTTGATCCCCTCTCTGTAAAACAGGGGTGATCACACTCATGCCCTCTCACAGGGTTACTGGGCAGATGAAACACCAGTTAACATTCCACATGTGCTTGGATACACTAACAGACAGCAGCCTAAGTGTTGGCTACTGGTGGCTGTTTTCCAGAAACCCTCCATCTTTCCACAGCACTGGATCTTGCCACCATCAGCTTCCCTTCACTGAGCATAAATTTAAACTGTAATGAGAGCACACTTAGCCAGGGATCCAGAGTCAAAGGCTACTAAAATCCAGCATTCTGGGCTGGATTTCACAGGTGTCCCATCTGGCTGGCCAGGATCTCATCGTCCCTGCCGTGCCCATGTGGTCTTCCTCCCTGTCAGTGCGTCCTTTCCGCGCCTCACCTGTGCAGATGGCGCTAACGCTTTCTGGGCCAGAGCGAGGGAGGGTGCAGGGCCGGATGCTTCTCCCCTACTGCCCCACGGGAGGAGCTGGGGACAGGGTTCCACACTTCATTCCTTCACTCAAAAAGATCTCACGAATAAACCCTGGCTGGTGTAGCTCAGTGGATTGAGCGCGGGCTGCGAACCAAAGTGTGGCAGGTTCGATTCCCAGTCAGGGTACATGCCTGAGTTGCAGGCCATGACCCCCAGCAACCGCACATTGATGTTTCTCTCTCTCTCTTTCTCCCTCCCTTCCCTCTCTAAAAATAAATAAATAAAAACTAAAAAAAAATCTCATGAATGCATCTTATGCAGTGAATATGTGCTCTCAGCCAGGCCCTGTATTTCATTCTTTATCTGAGCATCTCCATAAATGACTCTTCAAAACAACCCCAAAGATAGAAATAGTCCTGGCTTCCCACGTCAGCTGACCTTAAGAAGCACACTGAGATGATGTGTGTTGGATATAGCTCACATCACTAGAATTCTCAACCCTCCTTCTGGAACTCAATGCCCAAAAGGATAAGTCATCTGGTATCTCCCGCTCTGCCAACCTGATTAGGACAGTGATAGGCATAGGTCTGTAGCCCATTTTTCAGACAAGGATATTAAGGCCCAGAGAGGGGAAGGGGCTGAGTAAGGATGCACAGCCAGGATTGAACTCAGAGCCAGAATTCAATCCCAACTGTAACTGACTGCCAGGTCTGAGCTCCTATCTGCTCTGCAAAGCTTCCACAGCCAAAGAAAGATTTGTAATAGCTGCTGTACAGCAAATGCAGTCTCCACGAACCCACACATATCTCAGGAGGGAGGCCCATCAGTCCCCTGTATTACAGATGAGAGACTGAGGCACAGGGGTCACCAAGGGGCCCAGAGGCATCTTCTCTGGGGAGATCTTTGATATCTTCAAAAACCCCAAACCTTCCGAGTGCTGCCCCTTCATGCCCACACAGGCCAGACTTCTCACCAGCCTCAGACACTGCTTCACCTCAAGACACGTGTCACTCACACTGGGGACATCTGACGAAAGAGTGAAGACGGCAGACAGAGTCACTGTGGTCAAGCTGCTAAGTACTAAACTCAGGTAGGCTAAGGCAGAGGAAATGATTCTACTCTTGCTTTCACTAGCCTGGGAACTTAAACTTTTGAACTCTCCAGTTATGACTGGAGACAGACTGACTACATGTGTCTTAGAGGCAAGGCTCTGATTACCCCTTAAGGACTTAGAAAAGAATGTTCAGGTGTCCAGACCTACTGATATCCATTATTCAGACCCTTGGGCCCTTGGAAGATTATCATCTCAGATTAATCCAGAGGTTTAGAATGCAGGGCTGATTTTTTTTTAATGCAGTCTTTATTGTAAGAACTCTTAGCTTTTCTTTCTTCTTCAGAATATTCTGGGTTCTGTATAGTTGTTTCTGGTTTGAAAATCCTAAGACTTTTAAATATATCTTGATCATTTACTTCTAGCCAAAGCCTCCTGATTCATTCCCACTTGGCCGACACATCCAGAACAGAGGTAGCCTTCGTGTCCTCTTCTGCCAGTCCCACTGCTGCGGGGGGGGCCACAGGTGCTCCCCACCATCTCTGCACCTCTGCCAGGCCGGGGAAGCTCCCTCCACCATTACCCACTGCCCCTCCTTCAGAAGTGATTCAGTTCATCCCTCGGCAGTTATTAATCACCAGGAAGCAATACAGGCTGATAGGCAATGTTGCAACTGTAGTAAGAGAGTGAACTATAATAAAAAAGAATATGGCATGGCCGGCAATGCTAGTAATACAATAATATCATGGGTCGTGAAAGAAATACTATTGTGTGATGAATAACACTAAAAATACTACAGTGTGGTGGGTGACGAATATATTGCAGTATAA